TAAAATACAGAAGGTAAACAAAGGCCAGAAACCTGCTTTCAGCAGGCAAGGCCTCAGAGCTAAAGAAAAATATATATTTTTACAGCAAAAAAAAAAAAAAGGAGCAGATGGAGGGAGTGGAATGTGTTCCCCCCTTCACCCTTATAGTCTCACCCAGGAGGTCAGAGAGCCCCGATGCCTTTTTTTATTTTTTATTTTTCAAACAATTAGCGATAACGTGCCTCGTTGGCTACGGTACCGCCACGGCTCACAGCGAGGACGATGCCTTTGACGTCGCAGGTGCCAACACCTGCATGTAGCCCAAGGAGCAGCTCGCACCCGAAAGGCCGGCGGCAACGGGCACAGGCATGATCCCCCGTGACCCCGTCCGCGGGCCAGCGCAGAGCGTAGCACACGCGTGTTCCACGGCATGGGAGCCGCCACTTCCTTTCCTCACAGCTGATACCGTGTGGCATGGAGTTGTTACGAAGTTGCACAAACGCGGTTCCCCCGGGGCCATAAGGAAACAAACACACGTTGGAAAGTCTTTCAGCAAAAATAGCAACACCGTTTCTCTATTTTATTTATTTTTATTTTTTGCGCTGAAGATGCAGCATCTGTGCCATGTGTTTATTTATTTTTTAAAATACATTTTTTATGGGATTTCAGAGAGGAAGAGAGAGAGAGAGAGAGAGAGAGAGAGAGAGAGAGAGAGAATGATGAGAGAGAACCACGGACCGGCTGCCTCCTGCATGCCCCTTACTGGGGATCGAGCCCGCAACCCGGGCAGGTGCCCTTGACCGGGAATCGGACCCTGACTTCCTGGTTCCTAGGTCAACGCTCAACCACTGAACCACGCCGGCTGGGCATCTGTGCCATTTGGAATTATAAAATACGTCTCCAAAAGCCACCCTTGATATTTAGCTGTGATAGTCTTTGGGGTTTGTGCTATTTTAGTTTATTATTATTATCTATAATAATAAAAGCATAATATGCTAATTAGACCGGACAGCCGAACGACCTTCCGGACGAAGCCGAATTTCGTGCATCAGGCCTCTAGTTTTAGTTTATAATAATAATAATAATTATTATTATTATTAAAAATAAATATGGTTGTTGGTTTTGAGAGAGGGAGGGAAGGAGAGAGAGAAACATCCATGTGAGAGAGAAACGTTGAAGGGTTGCCTCCCGTACCTGCTCCAATGGGGGATTGAACCCGAAACCTGGGCACGCGCCCTGACCAGGAAATCGAACCCGCAACCTTTTGGTGCACGGGATGACGCACCAACCCACCAAACCACTGGCCAGGGCTCTCCCTCCGTTATTTTTATTTTTATTTTTTAAAAATATATTTTATTGATTTTTTACAGAGAGGAAGGGAGAGGGATAGAGAGTTAGAAACATC